TGATCAAGGGATCACAATGTATGAAATATGTATACATCCAAAAAAATAGCCGTATGCGCAACCTGTTTCGTGGCGAAATGAGAATCAGTCTACAGAAAATCACTCATGAAAATATTAAAGGTTCGGTGTTAGTGGCAAATCAAACATTTTAATTTGACAGAGAATTGGACCTGACCAGTAGATGGTGAAACTCATGTTATGTGAATGAGTTTTTCATGTTCCATACTCTCGGAAGGTAACACAATCCTTTGTAGTAGTGTCACTAGTATGAATAAATGACATAATGCGTTTGATGGCTTCATATGAAATTATTGTTTGGGTTCAAAGTATATGTTAACCAGTAACATTCAGTAAATAGCTTATATTGATTAATGAATTGTTTTTATTTTCTAGGTGGTTTGACTCAGTCAAACTATGGGTAAGTAGTCAAATGATTGCGCGATACATAACGATACATAACCTCTAGACTACTTGCTGGCATCCAGCGACTTTAATGTCTAACTTCAACTGATCCATGATCCTGCGCAACACCTCATCCATTGTCTGAGGTGGATAACTGTCTCACAGCCGACACGGATAGGACTCCACCGGTCACGGCTTCTCACTACAACTCCTGGAGTTATATCTTGAAGCTGGTCACTAGTGAGCATATGATTATCATCAGTAAAGGGAGTTGTGGAGATTGTAGTATTTTTACAGTTGAATTCGAGTCAATCTAAGGTAGACCACTACTGAAGACCTAGAAGCACATTTACTATTTAAAAATCTACGACACCGACAACTCCTCATGTTTTTACGATGACGGAGAATCAAGAATAAGTTCGTGTGGGTCAAAAAATAACTATGCAAACGAAGTATGAATAAGGATTTTTGGTAAATTGAAACCCTGAAAACTTCGAAAAGAATATTTACCAAACAATAGTATATATATATATATATATATATATATATATATATTCAAAAATGAAGAATATTTGAGCAAACAATTGTTTTCAATAACTTTATCATTAGGCTCTACAATCATAAGTCCATAATTATTGTGATATTTTACAAAGGCCAAAATATGGCATGTATTAATGAAATTTGACAATGTTATGTGTTAAAAAAAATGGTGCACTTTTGCATCTGTTACGATATATATATATACTTCAAAATTGTATTATTTGCAAATTAGAAAGGTCATTCAATAAAGGCCAGGATGATTTGCAGTAGTGTTCAATCACAATAAGTAGAATAGTATTATAGCCAAAATCGAAAATGTAAAAACAAAATCGTGTGAATAAAATGCATAGTAGGAGAATTTCATCTTGTCAATTGAGATAATAATAATATTGTTGTGTGAATATAATATGTAATAAGACGGTAGGTGGTGTTATCAAGGTAATTATGATCAACGAATTGGGAATGATGGATGTGAAGATTAAGATAGGGATAATCAAAAATAATGATAATAAGGAAAATAAATAAAAATAGAGGAAGGGGGGGTAAGAGGTTTAAAATATTCAGACTAGGTATTCGGTGATCCAGTCGTAGGCCAAGGTAAACATAGAGGCTGGATATATTTTTTCTGGATACATAAATTAGGTCTTCTAGAGTTGATCCAGATGGCTTCGGCTATGTAAAGTAGTCGTAATCTAGCTCCTTGAGGTAGATATTTTGGAACTTGATATAAAACAGAGAAAGCTTCCTCTATTTTGATATGATGTTCATTATCTACCAAGTGTGAGAGAATAGCACTGTTAATCGATTTAGTAAGTCTTTTTCCCAACCATGCCGGCACATGTTCACGAACACGCAAGGTTAAAGCCCTCTGTGTACGGCCTATGTAACTAGCTCCACAGGAGCAGTTGAATTGGTATACACACATAGAGGAGCCCATCTTCGGTAACCTATCCTTGATTAGTTGTGTGAGAACTGGTTTAGTCGAGATTATGTGTAACTTGGCGGCATGAAACGTCCTTTCGACCGATCTTTTGAGTCGACGTGTTAGAATATCACCCGCTATATCTCCTTTAAAGTCAAGTCTCAGATACAAGGTCTTTTTGGTGACTGTGTCACAATGTCTTCTTTTTTTATTACTTTGTACGAGGTATTTTTTTGACGAAATTATCAGGATAGCCATTATATCGTAATGTATTCTTTAATATATCTAATTCGTCATCTACACTGTCTTCAGAACATAATAACTTGATTCTGTGGTTGAGACATTTAACCAAATTTAACACATAACATTGTCAAATTTCATTAATACATACCTTATATATATATATATATATATATATATATATATATATATATATATATATATATATGGTTGCTAACATAAAATATGGAATCTCAAAATATAAGTGTAATATATATCCAGCTCATAATAACAATTCGTTCTGTTTATATTTTCTTTAAGGTTTTCGAGGAATCAATGTCATAGATCTGATCTCGTTTTACTAAATAACCTCTCGATTTGTGTAACTGCATTCGGACACCTAAATATACTGTTTTATTGTATATAAACTTGGTTCTGATCTCAGCTTTTTATTCGTGCATCAGTTAGAAGACAATTATATTTGAATTTAGGACACTATTTCTATTCTACAGTTCAAAAGATTCAGTGATAGTATTTTATAAGCAGGTAATAGTTTGGTGATTTTCAAAGTATGATAATTAAACTTATTAACAGACATGGTTCGTGAATTGTTTACAATATGTTGGCTCAGAAATCTTGTTGATTTATAAAGACAACCAAAGGAAATCATCTTATCTGATAATTCACAAGTAGAATTACTTTGTAGCCATTATTTAATGTTTTTAATCTCCATCAAAAAGAACAGTATGCTGTAAATAGTGTTTATGCTAGAGTGTACATCATGACAACAGAGTTGTATCGTTGTTAAATACTGATATTCAAAAAGTCTACTAAAGTCACAGTAATCAGTCCAGTTCTTTTACAAATTTACGCTTCATGTGTCAGTATGATAGACCCAGATTCACTACATTCAACGTAAAATGTTCTGTCAAAAGCAAATTTCCTGCAAATTGACAACATATTTTCGGTTAAAATGTAATAAAATCATGTATTTCTAATATCTCAATAAGAAGAACATTCAGTTACTGACGTTTCAAGATTTAGTGTAAATCGATTTTTTTCTTTTCAGAGAATGAATAGTCGACTTAAATTAATATCAGCTTAAACAGTATTGAGTAATAAATCAAAATATTTAGCGCAATCAAAACAAATCTGATTATGCTAATATCATGTCATTCAGGTCAAAGGTTGTTCTATATGAGACATTGATGTATGTTTTCATGCATATATATGTGTTGATGTGGAAATTGTATTTGTAGTATGAGGGAATAGGAGTAGAGTTGAATTGTATGCATGTTCATAGTGTGAGATGTGAATCGATTCAATGTGATTATTTGAACAAATGGTTCATATTGAATGGATAGTTATGCCTCCTTTTTCACTAAAGCCAATAAGGTTTAGAATCATATGAAAGCTTTAACCACTCACTTCCCTCAATAACTGTTGGAGACTTTTCGAATAATTCTGATACTTTCAATATCGATTCAATGTTTGGTTAAAATAATATATTGCTCTTGTTGACTTAAAATGTAGATTCTTGCGTTCTACAGATTTATTAGGTCTTCTTGTGTAACTTTTTTCTGGTCAACGGTCAAGATTTCCAAAAATGTCTGTTAATTTCCACCTTTCAATGGTTTGTGTCGAGGAGACTAAAACAATGTTTTTCGTCAGTCAGAAAATAGTTGTGTAAAGTACGAAGAATTAATGTTTCTATATCTTCGTGTTAGATAAGGACAAACTGATCAAGTTGTTTGATCATAGAGATAGGTATGTTTTCGCAAATTGATTTTTTGTATTCAATGTATTAGTACCAAACGGAAAAAAACGACCGAATTCCAATCACTGAAATCACTGGTAAAAACATTACGAGAAAACCTAGGTTCTAGTTAAAATCGTCTGCAAGCACATTTAAGAGACAAAAACTAATTAAAACAACGACACTGAAAGTAATTTATGTAGATTTTGAAATGGCCTCCTAATAAAGCCTATCTCATTTTCTTTGTAGGTTTTATTACACTTCTATATGTTCAACTGTAAATTTGTCCTCTAATTCTTTTTATTGTTGTACACGTAACATCTGTTTAAAGTATTTCATTTCTCCGAAACTCCTAAAAATGCTTTTCGTATACTATATTTCTCGATATGTATAACTCTCCATACCACAAAATTGCAAAGTGGCTGGTGCGAATCTTAGAGCCTTTGCACAAATCAGTTGTTAGAAAAAGTGTAAAAGATGTCTTCGAATTCACCACTAAATTGGAAAATATAAATGTCAACATGAAAAATATGATCTCTCTTGATGTAGTATCTTTGTTCACCAACGTACCACTTATGGAGACTATCGAGTTTATATGCAAGCAAATATCTGAAAAACAAATCAACATTGGCTTGCCTGAAGATAGTCTAAAGGAACTGCTCCTAAGATGCACTCTGAATGTCCATTTTGTCTTCAACAATAGTTATTATAGACAAATAGACGGAATAGCCATGGGCTCACCTCTAGGCCCGATTTTAGCTGATCTCTTTCTAGCAAAGTTAGAAAATGGACCTCTTAATGAGACTGTTAAGAAGCTTGATTTATATTGCCGCTACATTGACGACACTTTCATTGTCGCAGATCAAAACACCAGTAAGGAGAAACTCCTAGAACAATTTAACAGTGTTCACCCAGCGATCAGTTTCACTGGTGAATGCGAGCATGACAAAAAGCTGAACTTCCTTGACGTCACACTAAGCAGACGATGTGATGGCACATTAAGTAGAAGCGTGTATAGAAAAAGCCCCTCTACCTGCCAATATACCCACTTCTGCAGTTTCACACCTATCCGCTACAAGAGAAATTTGGTTAGATGTCTCACAAGCAGAGCAAAAAAGATTTGTACAGGTGATACTTTAAGTCAGGAGCTTGAATTTATCAACAACTCACTGACCGAGATCGGCTACCCCGGTGCTTTCATTAAGAAGTACATGTATGATATAATAAAGAAGTCGGAGATTTCGACTGTTCGTAAGAAACCTTTATACATGAAACTACAATTCAACGGGGATGTGGCTAGTGATACTCTGAAATATAGGTTAACGAAAGTAATCAACAGAACATTTTACGCAGCCAATCTTGCGTTGACTTTCTCTTGTCGACCAGCGATGTCTACTCAAACGAAGGATAAGTTACCTGAGTTGGCCTCCTCAATGTGCATTTACAAATTCAGCTGCTCCTGTGGAGATAGCTATATCGGGCGTACTACCAGGCAACTTAACCAACGAATGAATGAACATCTACCAACTTGGTTCATAAACGGCCAGATAAAAACAGTACGCAGTTCAATCCTGGCGCATCTTATTGATAGTGGTCATGCGGTAGATAAATCGAAATCATTTCGAGTGATCTATCGTATACCCCCATCATTTCCCAATGGAGTTCGTTCCCGTCTCCTACATATAGCTGAAGCCATAGGAATCCGTACGTATAACCCCAATCTATGTGTACAAAAGAAATTTGTAACCCCCCTATCCCTTCCATGGCCAGTGATAACTTAACTAACGATTAATTTTTTTTTTTTTATTTCTTTATGATTACTATTATTATTAATATTCTATCATTAACCTTATTTACTTATCCATTATTTGTTTGGAATTATTCGCCTCTTTACATTTGCATTCTTCACTATCTAATTATTTACACACTTCTTATTACGTAATGATTTTAATGTTTTGTGATAACTACTCCATTTACCCATGTTTGACCTACTATTTCCAATGTTTAACTATTGATAAGACTTTTGTTATCGTATTTTATTATTCCTACCTACTATCAGTACACCTGTCTTCCTACTATCAACTTGTACTTTTATCTATTATGTGTGATGACTTATCCCATTTCATTATAATTACTGACCCGAAATTGCCTTGATTGGTTTAACATTTTCGTATAAATATTACTGTATATTAGAGTAAAGCCTGATGATGATCTAATTGAAAACAATTGTTCACTTATATGTGTTGTACTATATTTCTAACTTTTCTCAAATTTTATTGTAACCCTTAAAATGTATTTATCTTCATGCGCTTAAAATCTGTCACTGATTTTTTTTATAATACGTAAACGTTGCTGGTATTGTTTTGTTACTGTTTTTCAATTAGTGTAATTTTGTAACTTAGCCTAAGGATAAATGGAAAAGAAAATAGTATAATCATAAGATACAGATTTTCAGCTCAAAATTAAGGATGAATGTTGTTCTTTAACCATCAAATAACTATTATTTACACCTAACTTGTTCATTTTAGTTAATCTGTACATTTAATTTGTATAAAACTAAAAATCGTCTAACATTCTTTTTATTCATGTAAGGTTGACATGGATTAAAATAACTATAAGCGTTTTTTAGTGTTTTTTTAGAGAGTTAGTTTTCTACGGGATGGGGTCGCTAATCCCATGCCCAACCCTCCTCCTTTATCCGGACTTTGGACCGGCAGTAGCCCCAGAGGGGCTTTAGGCGGAGTTCGATTAAATTAACTACGAGGCACATACAGCAAGACCCTATATCAAGCCTTCATACTAATCACTAAATGTATCGTCAATATTAATCACTAATATTTTTGGTGAAAACAAATAAACCATAGATAGTTATGTAATGCTGAGTTTCTTCCTATGACAGTTTTAATATCAAAGAAAAAGGAAGGAAATCTAGTCATCATTAAATTAGGATACATGTTTATAGAAACTTTTTCCATTATTTTCAAGCAACCTAGTTTCATGAATTCAAAGCATAAATATCAAATAAGAGATTTTAGTATTTCATAACTCATAACATATTCAGTTCAGGTTACATTTATTGATTAATATTGTTTTTTTATTTTTTTATTTGTTTCTTGGACTAAATTTACTATAATATGACCGCATTTGTTTATGACTAATATGATTAGAGTAACAGTAACAAAAAGTATGTCCTGCTAATATAGTTTATCGATGCTATAAAAAAAGGTGATTCTAGTTAACAAGACAACCCAACTTTTTTTCTCATTTCTTCTATAATTAGAAAAGAAAAATGCATCTCCTAAATTATTCCAGGGAATAGGTTTCAAACCATGTAACTTTCACTTTATATATGACTCTAATTGAAAAGTTGTACAGTTTTTTTTTTCAGATTTTTTTTTTAAACCGTTTTTTTTTTTCTTTTGTTCTGTAAAAGAAACTTGTTGAAATATTTTTGTGCTGAGAATTCTATATTGTACCAAAATATAATATTGAATAAAGCCATAAATAAATAAATAAATAAATAAATATGTTATAATTTCCCAATGTACGTTATCAGATTCTATGTTTGTTTTAGATTCGACATTGGTGATAGGCGATACGGAGTAATTAAAACTGATTTGAAATAAACTCATCCTAACTTAAATAGATGTGTTGACTCTTTCAAGTTTGTGATTAGTTATTCTGGTCTACTAGTAAAGGATTTGTTGAAATATAAATTAAATATAAACTTAATTTTCTGTATTGATTTTGTTAAACCTAGAACTTGAATTTTCGCTAAACCGCGTACAGCTTGAGCACTCGAATTCTAGAATCCTCCTAGTCGCATGTTAGAAGACAAAAGACGAGTAGGGAAGAATCTTATTCTAAACAATGTCAAATATGGTACAAAACACTCGAGTATCTATATTTTTTAGTAAAAACAAAATCACCATTACAGTCATTAGATCCTCATGCAGTGGTTTTTAGCATTTGTCCAATCGTGAGGCTACACGTCGAGACTTTTGAATCTTTCTCCAAACGATGATTGGATGGAATGTCCGAACCTCTTAGAGGTTCCTAGTATTCTACGGAGGTCGCCCCCACAGATTTCACCATAATTTTTAAGTACTTTTAATTTATTAATCACGTTCTTTGTGTGTTGCCATCGAACATGGTTACATAAATAAAACACGTTAGCTTAACTGTTTGTGTTTTTCGCAGTTTACTTACTCAGCCGTTGTTCGCTAAAGTGATTTTTTTAAAGTTAGTTGTGTTCCCCTTTCCTTACCATTCCCTTAAAAACGGCATTGTGAACTTTCTTTAAAAAATGATTTTCTTGTTTTTTTGAAACAGTTTTAAATTGAATAGGCACAACAGTTGGACTATATATAAACTAAATAAAGGAATTCGCAACTTCACAGGTCAACACTCACTGGTAAGTTAGAATGTGCTTATAATTATACTCTGAAGAGATAAGCATATATGTTCATATCAACCGATAGATCACATTGTGAAAATGTAAGTAGGTGTCTCAAAATGCCTATCTGGTAACATTAACTATGATGTCTACAAATATTCATTAATAACATTTAAGATCTCTTAGACCTTAGACATTTTCTCTGGCACAATTAGTTGTCAATAATCGAAGGTTTTGCACTATTTGGGTAAGAATAAGTTTTTTGATGTCTAGATATTTAAACCTTAGTTTTTTATTCAAAGGAATATAAAACAGTTTAAAATTACTTAAACTCAGAGCTGAACAAGGCCGTTCAACCTTAAAAGGTACAACATAATAAATAAATTTGTAAATAACTGCAGCCCTTAAGTTTGGTATTTATAGGTGTAAAAGACCTAATAGATCAGAATATGGATTGATATTAGTTGTATATATGAGGTGTAAAAACCAGTACTTATGAACTTTATAGAGTTCTATGAAGTTAAGTACTTCAAGCATATACTGATAAGATATGTTGTAATGCTTGTCGTAACATGAAAATATAAATAATAAAATGTCAATACTACAGAAGTTTTATATTCCTGCGATCCGTGTACTATGCCATGTGAAAGCGTCTTCTGAATGTTTCTGTTATCAAAAACTAACTAACTGGTTAAAATAAATGATGTAAAAAATAAACTAAAATTAAACACCCGTTAGGTACTTAAGTAGTCCTTTGGAATGTAAACAGTTTACTATAATAAGAAGAAGAACACTACCATTTTTTAGAAATATTTGAAATCTGGAACAGAAAAAGTGATATTATTTGTTGATATTTAGCCGACATCTATATGTGAAGTAATCTTTCAGAAAGGTTGATGCTAAATGTGCAACCTACGCAATTCTACGAACTAAATTAATTAGGATGGTTTTGAATAAGAATTTACTTCAAATCACCTGTAATCTAAAAACGGCTGATAAATACAACCACTTGTTTTTTTCTTTTCAAAGGGACACCTAATTTTAAGAAGCATATTCCACAGCGTCCAAACAATTAATGATTTTTTAATCTCAATTTATTTGAAAATAAATAGGTTTTGATTAGCCTATGAAGTATTTCATAAGCATATATCATGTTTTGTTGTTGTGTTGAATTTTCTTAACAAGGATTGTTTTTTTCACTCATCTAATAAAGAACATTTTTATCAGCTTGACCTACTTTCATATTTCATATTTTTAATTTGAATTCACTTGAAAAATGAATAAGATGAGTATGTTGTCATCTATAAATAAGAAATGTTTTGTTTCTTAATTAGACACAAACAGTTCAACTACATAACTGTAACAGATTGTTATCTGATATCCACTTGATTTATTACACGGTGATGTTTACTTGATGTTTACAATGATAGTTTTATTTGTAAACAGCAGTTTATTAAACGGCTTTCGCCTAAAATAGTTTTATCTTTATAAGAATGTCATGAACTTGTTGAATAGCTAATAACCATTCTGTTCATAATTCATTTTTATTTATTTATTTGAACACGTAAATATTGGTAGAAAGGGGCACCGAATACATATGCACCATACAAATCACTTGATTTGTATGTGGGCTGTGATACTCCTTTCATAAACCCAAATATCCTTTGTTTTACTTTCAAAAATATCTCGAAAGCGGATGATTTAGTTTATACTAATAGGGCTACTCAAAACTCTCAAAACACTTATTTTCCGTACCCTACCAATTTATCATTTTGTATGAGACCTTTATTTCAGGGTCTGAGAAGCTACTTTCGATCGGAAAAATGTAAAAGTGATATTAGGTGAATATCAAAGAGTTTATTTCTCTAAATGAATTGATTATTCGACGGTTGGGTTTTCCGTTTTTCGCTCACTTAGTGAAAATACAACGTTAAAGAGAAACACATTTGGAACAGTCTATGTAATTAATAGAAATATTATTGATGTTTCACCAAGTTGTGTCCTAGTTGATCACTATTACTTGTATCTGATCAGCCATTGATATATAAGTGTAGTATCACATCGAAAACTAAATAATGGTGTAAAATTAATAATAAATGCAAAACAAGATGTTATCGATATCACGAACCAGAATTTTCAATAACATGTTCATTTACGCCTTCACTTGTAGCATGTTATGTAGGAAGTTTTATTTTAGTTCTGATTAAAGCCTTGCTCCAAGAAGTTAGTTAATCAATACAAAGTGTCAATTGGTCTTTTCAGCTGACTTCAGATGTGATTTATACGTTGAAGCATAATTTCAACTTAGCGTCAACGTTTTACACGAAACTATTTATATTTGAGGTAAATGACAGTTTACAATCATTTTCTATTTGAATGCAATAGATTGAGACCTTACCTAAACACAGTTGGCCAGGAAACTAACCCCTTTAACATACTACAAATACTATCTTGACTTTATACGCTTTTCAGTTTTGCAAGTGAAAAAGTCATACATGATTAGAAAAAATCAGAACTTACAAAATTTCAGAAACTTTAAACATATTCAAAAAAATATTCACTATCTTACCAGTGAACATTTGTCAATCAAATTTTATAGCTGCTTTTAAAAGTGGAAGTATATCAGTCAAAATGAGTAGTTTCAATTTCATATTGTATATTGAATAAATTTTATATGTCAATTTACTCAACTATTTTAAAATTACAACTTACAAAATAACACGTTCGTAAACTACACATTCAACAGTAGGACGTTTATGGATATTGCTGCTAAAATGAAAGGTAACAATTAGATCAACATCACTCAGTGCCAGGATTTGTTTATTGCCAATAGATCACCAAAGCAGTATAACTATCTAAACAAGATCAATGGCATATGATATGCAATGGTGAGGTTGTCTTACAATTATACAGTAAACCGAATATACACAAACCCAACATTTTGTTACATTCAACTATATAACTTTCTGAGACCCCG